GTAAACATTGTTTCAAAGAAAATAAATACTTATAAATTCTATGAAAAGCTTTTATTAAGTCCATCAAATAAAATATTAAAATGTAATACCTACTTTCAGTAAAATCATTTATCTTAATGTTTGGATTATAAATCATTTTAAGGTAGGTAATATTATGTTATATTTTGCAAGAATAGGACTTAGTGACGGGTTTCAAAATATTAAATTACAATACATATATAATATATAATAATATAATATTAAATTAAATTTAAAATTTATACAAATTTAATAAATCTAATTTTTATTATGTACGTACTATAGAATACTAATAATAAAAAAATATATAATAATTTATATTAGAATAATGTAGTATTATAACAAATTAAATAATATGCAGTATAGTAGAGTTATATATATTTGATTCAACATTCACAATCTGTATTTAATTTTGTCAAAATATTATTAACAAGTTAGTGTAAATTTATATGAAATCTACCAAGATTATATCTTATCAGGCTGTACAAAATCGAAATAAGATAGGTAATAAAATTAACATGTTACCCTGAAGAAAAATAACACAATGAAAACACTTGGTTATAAATCAAACCCRATTAATGAATTGTATTTAGTAAATCAAAAACTTATGGATAATTAGTCATTTAATAAAATGCTAAAGTATTACAATAATAAAAATTATTTTTATTACCATTACAGTTCTAATAGAATTTATGTATTGGTGAATTTCATGATATTAAGAGAACCTCTTAGCTTCTAAACAATATAAATAGCTCCCCCGCATGGCGTAAAAGAAAATTAAGAGCACATTAACGTTGSAAGCGTAGGAAAACAACTACGGTTCATTAAGCTCTGGCATCAATTTTGCTCAAAGATAGATCTCCCTTGGCGATGTATTTCGCTTTAAAACACAGAGACACATGAATATACCAAAACATTACTGTACAATAAAGTCCTTAGAAACTTTATAACGTTGTGACTTTAAAAGACAATTTTGTTGTACCTATTCTTTACGCAGGTAAGAAAAAACTGCAAGATAAACGATAAAACATAGAACGTTTTAGTTTTTAAATTTTATCGATCTATAATATATATCTTAAACATCTGAAGATTATATTTTTGTAACATATACTATGAAATATTATGTGTTGCATATATTTTCATACAATTTAATACAAATGTAAATTAAATTACAAACTAATTCACATAATGCAAAAGAAAATCCCAGTTTATTTATTTCCCCCATAATATGTGGGAGTATTGTATTAAAGATTCTATGCGAAATATAATTTTCTTGTAAATCAATCTAAGTCAATGAAAATATCTGCATTCTTAAAAATAGTATTATATTTTTGGATATCAATAAATAATTAATTAAGACCACGTTTCAGAAATATATTTTGTTATCTAGGTTTCTAGCATGCGTCTAAATAGAATAATCATGATCCATAAAAAATAGATTTTAAGAGTTTGAACTAATTTCAGACGATGAAGAGGATAATAATTTATGTTCAAGTGGTGGTATTAATTTATATTTTAAATATCTGAAGGATAATGTTTTCATGGTACGCTACATTGAGGTCAATATCGATCGTCGATTTACTTGTCACATTCAAATCAAAAATAAAATTTGATCGCTTAATAACCATCATCTCCGCATTCTTAACGGCTGTTCTTTACTTCAAAATTAATGTAAAATTACTTACTTAACTCTTGCTGTAGTGCTGTATAAGCTACTGGTTAGACACATTTAATCTTATGGTATACAGGTATGGATCTCAATCAACATTTTTAACGTTAACCACATACAGTGATTTCAATACACAGTCCTTTGAATTATACAAAATCTTCATTCYAAGTGTCCAATAAAATATCCTTTACTCTAACTTCAAAATATTCATTTCCACTCAATTATAAAAACTCCACTTTAAGCGATTCAATGGCAAACTAACTCAACATCCCTAATCTCTACACCCAATTATCATCTGAAACTAATTCTAGGAATTCTCAAAAAAGGTGGTGCCATGACAGGTTTTTCTAATATATACATATAAATTTAGTTTGCTATAATTAAAATTATTATTACTATATGATTATATACATTGTCATTTCATCAATTAATATACACTTTGAAAAACCTCCTCTGGAAGGCCTCTTATCTCTTTTTTTTTTCTATATCATTATTTATTATTATTATCACTGATTGTTCTCATCAAATCAGATGGTATGATATAGAATTTTTGAATTTTAGAAATATAGAAAATATGTACAGCTGATACCTACATAAATAGAAATCCTAATTAGATTAATAATTCACATTAAATCATACAAAATATTTATTTTTTTATTTTTTTTTTAAACTTTTCCTAGCAAATTCAACTAAACTTAGGTATAATTTACAAATTTTTTAGCTATTTATAAAAACCATATTACCATAATAATATGTAGTAAGTAACTAGGTTATCAAATTGGCGATTTACATTAATAGATTTAAGATAGTGTTATAATCAATGAACGCA